TACCAAAGTGTTTTACTGTTGTTCGGTATAGCTGCCATTATCAAGGTATTCTCGCACAGGTAGCTACAGAACCGACTGTCACACCACGACCAGTCCAGCACATGCAGTAACGTTTGAAAGGCTACATAAGTGTATTGCTTTTTTTCCTTTTAGAACATGGGTGTCATACCAGTTCCAGAAAGGGCTGTGTGGCTGCAGGTTTTCTTTCCAACAAAGCAATGGTACACCAGACTCCAGTCATCTCATCAAGTCATCATGTTAAGACTAGACTCACTTGATGAGATCTTCCAGATCTAGACCAGGGCATCACTGAGCTCCTGGACATTCTGAGGTTCAACCTGGCGGCGTCGGATGGATGGAATCATAATGTTCTAGAGGTGTTCTATTGCATTTAGGTCAGGCGAGCATGGGGGCCAATCAATGGTATCAATTCCTTCATCCTCCAGGAACTGCCTGCATACTCTTGCCACATGAGGCCGGGAATTGTCGTGCACCAGGAGGAACTCAGGACCCACTGCACCAGCACAGGGTCTGACAATGGGTGCAAGGATTCATCCCAATACCTTTTGGCAGTCAGGGTGCCGTTGTCTAGCCTGTATAGGTCTGTGTGTCCCTCCATGGATATGCCTCCCCAGACCATCACTGACCCACCACCAAACCGGTCATGCTGAACGATGTTACAGGCAGCATAACGTTCTCCACGGCTTCTCCAGAGCCTTTCATGTCGGTCTCATGTGCTCAGGGTGAATCTGCTCTCATCTGTGAAAAGCACAGGGCGCCAGTGGCCGACTTGCCAATTCCGGTGTTCTGTGGCAAATGCCAATCAAACTCCACGGTGCCGGGCAGTGACAACGGGGCCCACTAGAGGACGTGGGGCCCTCAGGCCACCCTCGTGAAGTCTGTTTCTGATTGTTTGGTCAGAGACATTCACACCAGTGGCCTGCTGGAGGTCATTTGTAGGGCTCTGGCAGTGCTCCTCCTGCTCCTCCTTGCACAAAGGAGCAGATACCGGTACTGCTGATGGGTTGTAGACTTTCTACGGCCCTGTCCAGCTCTCCTGGAGTAACTGCCTGTCTCCTGGAATCTCCTCCATGCTCTTGAGATTGTGCTGGGAGACACAGCAAACCTTCTGGCAATGGCACGTATTGATGTGCCATCCTGGAGGAGTTGGACTGCCTGTGCAACCTCTGTAGGGTCCAGGTAGCGCCTCATGCTAACAGTAGTAACAGTGACCCTAGCCAAATGCAAAACAGGTGAAAATTAGTCAGAAAAGATGAGGAGGGTAAAAAATGTGAGTGGCCTCCACCTGTAAAATCATTCCTGTTTTGATGGTCGTCTCGTTGTTGCCCCTCTAGTGCACCTGTTGTTAATTTCATTAACACCAAAACAGCTGAAACTGATTAACAACCCCCTCTGCTACTTACCTGACCAAATCAATATCCCAGAAGTTTAATTAACTTGATGCTACACTCTGATTACAGTGTTCCTTTAATTGTTTTGAGTTTTTCTCAAATCCTCATGGACGTTTTTCTTGTTTGCTTTTTATTCCAACTTTTTTTTATTTCTATTTTTTTTTTGTACAAATGTTCTTTTTTCATTTCCATTTAAAACATTTTTGTGCCTTTAACAATTATTAAAAAGCCTGTTTTTTGTTTGTTTGACCCTGATCATTTCTACCCTCCGTCATTTTAAAGCTGCTCTATGCTTACTGCAGTGTCCATAAATACTCTCATCAGATTTATTTTATTACTCCCATCCCTGCAGAGAGATCTTTTTTTGGTTGTTTAATATTTCATTTTAGAAGAAACAGGACATTTGATATAGATTTAAGGAACCTTTAACTTACTTTTTTTTTAAAAGATCTAAGATGATTAAAAACCAATTTTTGGTGTTTTCAGTAAATGTCTGAATCCATTAATGGTTCTGCCCGTTCTGTGTGTTTGTACTGATGGTGGATAATGGGTAAAGTTACACCGACTGGTGCAGGCCACACATGCTTCATGCATATTGCAGACGCTGCACCTGCTGCTAATTTTAAACTGGGATGACACCACCGTGTTTAGTGGGAGTGTTTGCTGTCTCTGGTCAGAGACGCTCAGGTCCTGTTTCTCTGTCCTGTCTCCACTTTTTATTACTTTTTACAAATTAGAATTATTTAATATAAGGTTTCAAATTTCTGTGTTCTGTTGAAGCGAAAATCGACCTTGAAAAAATCTTGATCACATTAAAGGCAATAAAAGGTGTGTTTCCATAGATCTGAGGGACCCCAACAAAAGCAGAGGTTGCTAATCAAAGCTCCTAAACTGGGAGCAATGGTTTCCTCTGTCTGAGTTACAAACACTCAAGTCTTCTATTGAAGCCCTAAAATGCAAATACAATCAAATCGTGTTTGTAGGAAACTGGACAGAGAACATTCAGGCCTTTAATGTGTGGCTGTTCGATGCTGATGAGGTGGAGCGGTTTGGAAAAGCAACCGACTCTGTGGCACGACAGACTTCGGGTTATTTTTTCCGAATCCACTGCTGTAGATCAACAAACAAACCTGCGTATCTAGGAATGGAAGAGATGATTTTCAGTCACTGTGACGTGATCTCTGAGATCTACGGAGACTAATATATGTCATTAAATAGATAAATGTCCCATGAAATGAATAAATATGGCTTTTAGTTATTTAAATATACGATTTAAACATTAAATGTACAATTGAACAATTAAGTTTTCCATGAAATATTTAAAAGAGCAGTTCAAATAAAGATTAAATTGAAATTACTACACTTTTTATGTTTAAGCAAAGTAATTCTGTGTTTTTTTTTAGGGCGTCGTCAGTTTGTTGGAGTTTGGTGTGTAGGTTGGGGCGAATCGATTCAGCGATATATCGTCATTTTTGGCATCAGTCTTTAAGTTTTCTAGCATCAATTTAAAAATGTATTTATTTTTTAACCTAAAACAATGAAGGGAAATGGACTCCCTCTGTACTGCCAATCTGGCAGATGGCAGTGCCATATTTGTAGTTTAAAGGCTAATTTATACTCCAAAACTAGGTCGTCTGCGTAGGTGAGTGAACAAAAAGACGTCCCCGCCCCCTCCGCAAACACTCTGCTGCACCTCTCCCAAATTGTAGCTGACCACAGACAGGAGGCTGGCTTGTTTTGTTTTTCTGACTGAAATTGCGGAAAACAACTTTTGAAGTTGGACCAGCTAGAAGAGCGAGGTGCGAGAGAACGCTGGGACCCTTTTTTCCACCTGGATTCCCACTCTTTTTGGCCCTCATTTCCCTCTGTTGTCAGACAAACTTGCCCCCACTTCCTCACCGCCTCGGCCGTATCTAGACCCACAGTGTGTAGCACAGACCACGCTTTAATACTGAGCATAAATCAAAAATGTCTGCGTCAAGCTCACTGAGACACACTGCTGCAGGAGGATAACCAGCCCATAAGCCGTCACAATGGAAGATGTAGACTGACTACCACCCCAAACAACATGGATTCCAAAATAACTGAATGATCTTCTGCTGGACATGTACAGCACTTGCTTTTTTTTATCCATTCATTTAATTTTGGCAGCTGGGAAAAATGTTGCAGTTTATAATGATATTGCAATATCCTGATAAGGGCTGCAACTAACAACTATTTTGCAAATAGATTAATCTGTTGATTATTTTGATTAATTCATAATTATTCAGCCAAAGTTTCCTAAAGAAGATTTTTTTAAATTAAATTAAATCAGGTAAAATTAAAAGTTTTCCTCCATCGGATTTTCTGGATGGAACATTTTGACGTAGGAAAATGATACAACCAGAAAATTTGTATTTAAATTTCAAATCATTTTGGCTTAAACATGTATATAAATGTACTCTTTCTTTATCAAACCATATTGTCCCAAAGGTTAGAAAATTTCTGTTTAAAAAAAAAAAAAAAATCCTGTCTTAAAATCTGTGTTGTTGTTTTTTTTCTCGTTATCTTTACATTCCAGTTAGTTATACGTCAGTCTGAACACCTAAATTCGGCCATATTTTTTTTACTCTGACTCCACTAGGGATGGAACGGTTTATGAAAACCGTCCGAACCGTTCGGTTCGACTGTCTCGGTTCGGTTCGCGTGTGTTTCGTTCGGTTCATGCGCTGCTCCTTTTTCTCATAGGCGAAGCGTTTACACTCCAGAGCAGAAGGTGGCGGTACTGCGACCAAAGCCAACCACCAGTAGTAAACAAGAAGAAGAAGAAGCGAAGCAGCGTAGCCGGATGTAGCAGAAAAAAGTCAGTTGTTGTGGAGAATTGTGTGGGTATGGTGAGTGGGAAAGAACAGGAGTTGGAAGACGCGCCAGCAGCACTTTATAGGTCTGCTGTATGGGAGCGCTTTGGATTTAGAGTAACCTAAGATGACGGCGGAAAGAAAGCTGTGGATAAAAACACTGTGCAAGCATTGAGCAACACGTTTTGTTTATGCTAATAGCAACACGACCAACATGTCAGGCTAATAATCAACAAATACCGAACCGAAAACCGTGACCACCAAACCGTAAAAAGAACAGAACCATGGATTTTGTGAACCGTTCACCCCCTAGACTCAACCCTTTCACTGAATTACAGGGTCTGACCAGGAGATGGCGCTTCTCTTTAGATCTTAATGTCCATAAATCATGACTGAAAGAATATTTTAGATGTTTAGAAAGGAATTGTAGGGGACCAGCCAAGGGCCCATCAAGGAAAGTGGGGAAATTGTGAATGGCTTCTACTGTAGGATTACTTTTCTTCCACCAAGCTGTTAAACGTAGCGGTGCACTGATGGCTGATTACTGGTCCTTAAAAAGCCTGAAATGCAGATACCAATTTTCTTTTTCTTATCTTTATTATAACTGCACTAAAAGTTATATGCAACTTTGTGACTTAAAGTTGGATCTTAAATCGGTATGAAGTTTGTTGAGGTTTGTTTCTTCACGTGAAGCTGCTGCGCTCAGTTAGCTTTTTCTATCTGTTATAAATTTCTGCTCCTCTCATCACAGGACGCAACGAGCCGTTGAAAAAAGACCGCCCCAAGTGGAAGAGCGACTACCCGATGACTGAGGGCCAGCTGCGCAGCAAGCGAGACGAGTTCTGGGACACGGCGCCGGCCTTCGAGGGCCGGAAGGAGATCTGGGACGCCCTGAAAGCGGCCGCTGTGGCCCTGGAGTGCAATGACCACGAGCTGGCCCAGGCTATAGTGGACGGGGCTAGCATCACACTGCCGCACGGTGAGGAGGCGCCGCGGCGCTGTGCATTTTTTCTAGCAGAATGTTTGACTCGTATTCATGTTTGATCCCTGGTCCTCTTTCAGGGACTCTGACCGAATGTTATGATGAGCTGGGGAACCGCTACCAGCTTCCCGTCTACTGCCTAGCGCCCCCCGTCAACCTCATCTCAGAGTGCAGCGATGAGGACCCCAGTGACAGCCCTCAGCCCCCAGCAGCTTCCAAAAAGGAGTTCCAGCTCAAGGTAAACAGCCACAGTCAGACTATGAGCTGTTTAACACTCGGGCGTTTCTCAATAGACGTTCTGGAGCGTTCTCGTGATACGTCATCAGCCTCAACCCGAGCACTGTTCCAATTGCTGAGAACGCATCAAATCCCCGGATGTTGTTCTCGCCCTGCCCTCTTTACCCAGCATGCATTAGAGCAGACCTGTCTGTGCTTGAGATTGACAGCAGCAGCTTTCAATGGAGCGCTCCATTGGAATTTATCTTTCTGTTGCTGTTGTTCAATAAAAGTACGTTTTAAGATAATTTGAGGCGATATTATACTTTAAAACGTCACTATATGGTCCATTTACTGATTTAATGCGTAAATAAAAAAAAGATTTCCAAAGTTGAGAGGACCGCGGAAACGTGAGGATCTCTAAAGCTAACGGCAGCCAGGGCTAACATTAGCCCGTCTGCAGCAGCCTTCTCTCTGCATAGCCAGGTGGGAAGGACCGCTGCCTCTGTTGGCGAGTTTTTATTATTTTTTTTTTTTGTTTTATTTGGCAAAATGATCATCTGATTTGTGTTTATCTGACTGTGTAAATTATTATTCCCCCACTAAATGAAAAAAGTCAGAATTTATTAATATCTAGGGACTATTAATAACAGGAGGTGAAATGCAGCTGTAGATGAGCTGAGCGTGTGGTGATGTCACGAGTACTCGCGTTCTAGTGAATTGAGAAATGGTTTCGGACTCCCAGAATTCTGATCCTAGAACTCCCACTGGCTGTCAGTTTGACGGATGAAGGTTTTACTGAGCAAAACCAACGTTTATAGCTGCTGTGTCTAGGAGATCATAAAATGCAGTCACAGGCCACCTTCACGTTGAAGCTTTTACAGAATACTTCCTAATCATCTGATCCGACACTTCCACGCCGACCTGTGTGTGATTATAGTAGGCCACAGGCTACCACAGTTTGGCTTTTAGGCCGCTAAGAACCAGCTGTGGTGTGAGCAGTACTATCCAAACCTTGGGCTAAAGTTTCCCTATTGTCTGATGGTTCACTGGTACGTCTGCATTTTCCCAGTGGTGTGCGATCATCCTCTGACTCGCTCTTAGAATCTGAGCTGCTTCCTACCCAGTCCTCCTCATCAGTCTCTCCCTCTCCGCCTGAATTGCTATCATCAATATTTTGAAGCATTTCTTAAGCCTGTTTCGCTGTTAGATTTTTTTTTTTCTGAAAGCCATTTTTCCGTATTAGCTAAAGAGTTCTAGGTAGAATGTTGGTTGCTAGGCAACGGTACTGAACATCAATCAACAGCGGGAGTAATTTACAGTGTGACTAATAGGGCTGTCAAAATGAAGTTTGTGGGAGATTGTAGTAAATTATTATAATTAGTCAAATTATTTTTACATTTTTATGTTATTTAAAAAACTACTTGAAACTGAAGGAAATAAAGCAACAGGAAAAGTCAGTTAACATGAGCAACATATGATTAATGTAAATAAAAGTTCTCCCCTTTTAAAATCTCAGAACTGTCAAAATGACAGCCTTTGGAGTTCTAGTGTTAAGGCCTAAAGATCTGGTTCCTGTTGCTCCTTTAGGTGCGGCTCTCCACAGGGAATGACGTGCGGCTCAGCGCCAGCATGGCCGACACCATCGGGCAGCTGAAGAAGCAGCTCCAGACCCAGGAGGACATCGACGTGCTCCACCAGCGCTGGTTCTTCTCCGGAAAGCTGCTGACAGACAAGACGCGGCTGCAGGACACCAAGATCCAGAAGGACTTCATCATTCAGGTCATCGTGAACGCGCAGGCGCTAGGAGGGCCCAAGCCGGCACCCACTGCCCCCGCAACGGCGTCCGAGTGACGGCGTCCGAGTGACGGCGTCCTCCTGCAGAGAAACTGAATTTTAGACTCGAAACGAAAAAGAAAAGAGGGAATAAATGAAAAGTGCTGCTTAATTTCATTTAACGTAGAAACTGGGTTTTTATTCACTCTGGAGGAAGAAAGTCTAAGATGGTTGCCATGTTTTTAGCTCCTCATGCTGGTTTCTGCTTCACTGAGAGGATGAAAGGCCCAGATCGAGGGGGGTTTATGCTGGACGTGAAGCGAGTCTTGTCTCCGACACTTTGATGGAGCAGATGATGCAAGTTTTTTTTTTTTTATTATTCTTTTACTTAGGAAATACTAACTGAGCTGTTTTGCACAATGAAGGGTTCTTCCTCTTCTTCTGCAGTTGATTGTGTGCCTTCTACCAGATAAAGAGATTCGCCTTCGTCGGCTCAAACCCGGTGTATTTTTCTAGATTCAAATCCACCATCAGTCACTGCTGCCTTTTATTATGCTGTCTTTTAATATCCATTTCACCTTCTTGAGGGTTTCTTAGAGCTGCCTTACTGCTTAATGACCACTAGGTGGAGCCACACTGCCCTTTTTCACGCAGTCGTTTTCCCGTCCCTCCGGCTGATGATTGTAGTTACCGGTCAGCCCGTTAATCACCAGCAAACCGAGGAGCGGCTGTGGAGCTGTGATCCGACATCCAGATTCTGGGCTTTATTTGAATGAATGCTGCAGAACCTGCCCCCACCCCTAGAGGGAGCAGCTTCTTTTAATGTTTTAGCATTGAAATGATGAGTTTAGAATCATTTTCATGATCTGATCAGACACTCAGCAAGGTCTATTACTACCAACACTGATTTGCTAATGATGACCTGTTTTCTTTAACAGGATTTACTCATAATATCAAAGAAAATAATGCTGTCGGTTAAAGGAAAACAAACCATCCCTGACTCATTTCTTTAAAGTTTAGCTTCCTCGGCTTTGCCACTGAGGCGTTGCTGTGGATGCAGACGGTCGTCCCTGTAAACAGTCAGTCTGGCTCTCAACCCATGTTTGCCTTTTAATGCCAGATGGAAATGCTAGAGGCTTGAACCAAGTTTTCTACAGCTTTTAGAAACCCTTTAATTTGATCTGAAACAGTTTCCCACCAAACGCTAAAACATGAATTGAACTTTTTATTTTTCCTGTAAAATGTTAGTGTTGGAACCTTCCTGTTTTCACTATACATCCTTACAGGTCAGATTGTTTTCAGCCAGATGCTCCTAAAAGCATCTGAGCATCTAAAAACCTCTGATAAGTAGTCAGACTGTGTTTGTTTTTGTTTTTTTCCTTCAGTCGATCTTTTATTCACATGTTGTGGGATTTCTTCATTTGCAGGAAAAGATGCGACTCTTAAGCGTTTGGTTTCCAGTCCGTGGCAGACCAGGTCTCTGATGAACCTTTAATCCCATGTCAGAGATAGGACCCAGTTAAATCCAGCTCCATGGAGCGCCCCACCCCCACTTGTTGCTGGCAGAGCCATGTTTATCACTGTGAAGTAATCACCATACCGACCCATTCACAGAATCGTAACCAGAGGGAAATCTTCAGGGAATAAATAACTCAAAGAAGGGCTTGATGTTTTTTGTTTTCTTCCACTCTCCGCTCCCGTTGCTCAGGCCTCCCGCTGTAACGCCACAGTGGCGCTAAAGCTGCTCCACTCGGTATTTAGGATGCTGCAGACTTGAACAGCCCCCCCCTAACAGGTGCAATATGACAGGCCTTGTATTGTTTTTGTTTCTGCTGAGGAGCAGCTGAGTTGTGTGAAAGTAGAGCCCAGACTGTGATCATTATCATCATGCGTGCGTCAGATAATCAGCAGCGTCAGATAAACCTTGGCTTAGCAGCGAGTCCCGCCCGCCTCAGCTGTGAAGCCCGACATCTCTCAGGTTCAGGAGGAGGGACATTTATCTTTGCTGAATTGAGCCCTGAGCAGATGTTGTTCTTCTTTATCTGCATACTTTCCTTTAGTCTTTTATAAATTAAGCTTAAAGAGATTTAGAGAAACACAATTGAACAGATTTGAATACAGAGTTGATGATTTATCCATTGCATTCTGGGAGATTTTAACCTAAAGCAAGCCGACTGATTTTTGACTCTTGATGGTTAAGAACCCAAATAAAACAACCAGATTAGAGTGATCGCATTAAATCTCTTAGGAAAGAAAATGTGAAAATTAAAGCTGTAAACCTTTATTCTAAATACGAACGGATAAATTATCAATAAAGCCCCTAATTTCCTGTTTAAACAGGAAGTATAAACGCTCCACGGCTGCCTTAATGTAGAGGAACCTTATCTGCTCATCGCCATCAGGGAAAAAAACGTACAAAATAAATGATAGAGGGAATACATTTAGAGGGTCTTCAAATTAAAACTTCAGGTGAACAAAAAATTTTTCATTTTTTCTATTGATGAAAAATGTTTGATTTTTAAGGTTTTTACCTCATTTAGAAACCGGATCTTTATCATCTGTAACGTCTGGAGGAACATTTCCACCACATCTAGGAAAGAAAACAAATATATCATTTTTTTTTTAAGATAATTTCTCAAATAAGATGACTAAGTCATTATTATAAGATACTTTGTCAAAATGACAGTATCTCATGAGTTATTTTCTATTAAAAGAATATCTATAAAAATATAGTATGTAATAATTATGGGATATGAGTTTGTTTTTCTTTCAGTAGAGCGGTGAAAATGGGTTTCCATGGTAACGTAAATCCATGTCTGCATGCTGGACGCGTTTCTTCGTTCCCCTTTAGCTCCTGGATGCGTGGAGCGGAACAGGTTTGCATCGTTTCTGTCGTGCGAGACGCTTCTGAACCATAATAACCCAACAAATATGTGTTTCTACTTTTTTAAAGCTGTGAATTTCTCCCTTGATTCGTTTCACCTCTACTTGGTTGCACATTTGTTTTCTTTGGTGGTTTTAGAATCTGTCTGCGTCAGGAAAGCTTCACCTTCAGTCTGGAGCGACAGACGTGGAATAAAAACCATTTTAACCCGAAGCTTTTTCCCATTTTCTTTCCAATCATACAATCAGACCCCAAATAAACCAGAGATATAGAAATATGAATAAAAGCCATAAGAGGAGATTGAGAGTTTTTCTTATGTTGTGAATCCGATACCACTCCATGTATTATTATTATTATTATTATTATTATTATTATTATGCTTTCCTCTGAGATCTTTAAAGGCCATAATATGTTAAGGTTAGACTTTCTAATTGTTTCCGCACCAGAACAGCCATATATATAAAGCACTAAAATATCTTTGTTTAAAAGAATGGGTTTATTTAGTTGATAGAAATGTTATGGACCTGATGATATTTTCAAGTTATTTTAATGTTCATTTAAATGCTGATTTCATGGAAAATCCTGTTTCTAAACCGTTAAATAAAGTCTAAACTTGTGAAATAAACTCAGCAGTTATGTGGATTTTTGTTTTCTTCCTGCAGCCGACCTATAAGTGGACCTCATTTTATTTCAGTTTAAAAAGGGAAACTTGTACAATTTGAACATAAATTACGCTGACATGTTTCAAAGGTGTTTTATACTCGAACTCTGTTCTTACAGATCATTAAACTGCAACATTCAGTCTAATTTATACATATTGACCTCAGATTAAACCTTTTTAATTCATAAATATATTTCCAGTTTAACCAGAGGTGCAAAGCAACAAAGTACAAATACTTTATCTTAAGTAGAAATGTTGTCGATGTTTACTGGAATAATTATTTTATAGACAAATTTTTACTTTCTACTCCTTATGTTTTAAAAATAAACTCATTAGTTTTGTTTTATTTAAGCTCCATTTTCATTATGGCCTTTTGGTGTTTAAAGAAAATAAAAACAATCAAAATAATTTGTTTCATCCAATTTCTTTGTGGTTGGACTCGGTGCTGCCCCAACTTGTTGCTTACCACATACCAAAATAAATCGCTCTTCAAGATGATGCAAAGTTAAATGTGACACTGTTACCATTAGTTATAACACTAAGAAAATTAAGTAAGTTATCATCCAGAATTTACGAAAAATGTTCCTTTAAAAAGGGTAGAGCTACGGAAGAGGATTAGGGCCACTGGAAAAAAAATGTTAACTGATTTTTAAATTTTATTTCGGTTTAACCGAGGGAAAAAAGTCAAATCTGACTTTTTTTTTTCTCAGAAATCTGACTTTTTTTCTCAGAATTCTGACTTTAATCTCAGAATTCTGACTTTAATCTCAGAATTCTGACTTTTTTCTCAGAATTCTGACTTTAATCTCAGAATTCTGACTTCAATCTCAGAATTCTGACTTTTTTCTCAAAATTCTGACTTTTTTTCTCAAACTTCTGACTTTTTTTCTCAGAATTCTGACAGATAACAAACATGTTAGCATCCAGCCATAGCCATGTCTGTTTTAGAGACTAGCTCTCTTTTTTAATGACCTTCTGCTCCTCTATTAATGAGGCGACCCCTCGGGAACGTAAAAAGTTACCTAATTTCGTCATTTTCCACCGATGTGTCACTGGCCCTCAAAAACAACTCACATCTAGAAGCTGAGTGCTCCACATCTCTTCCTTCATGATGCCCATCTACATTAAGATCCAAAATTTGGAGAAAAAAGTCAGAATTCTGAGATTAAACTCAGAATTCTGACTTATTTTCCCATATTAAACTAAAATAACATTTAAAAATCAGTTAACGTTTTTTTTTCAGTGGCCCTAATCCTCTTCCGTATAGAGCAGTAAAGCTTCTGGCCTTGACAGTTTTTCCTCCATTACTTTTATACTGTAAGTGGTTTTAAAAATGGTACTTTAACACTTTTACTGGAGTAAAAAGCTAAAGTTGATCCTCTACAAAGGCGTTTTTAAACAGCAGGATTTCTACTTCTACTGGAGACATAAAAATGAATACTTTTGACACCTCTGAGTTTAACAATCAGTTTAATTTCCCATGAAATGCTGCATAAATGTTTTGCTTCAGATTCTATCTTCTGCTCCTTTATCTGCTGTGATTATTTTTTCTCTCCTTCCACTTAACTTTCCAGTTACCATTTGCATTATCTTAACAGACCTTTTAAAATTCTTTTAAAATGTCACATAATTTTTTTATTAACTGAATTATGACTCTTTGTCAGGGACCATTTTCAAAATGATGCTGAATAAAATGCTGAAAATAAACTTAAATAAATGACCAATGATATGGATATCCAGCTCTTTTTGTGTCCATCTTTATTCTGCAAATACTGATTGGAAACAAAGAGATTTTGGTTCCAGGTGTTCACAGATACACACTAATACTAAATCCTGAGCTGCAGCTGCAGATTTATACCACCCTGAATAATAGTGTGGAATCTGCATAAGTTTGGCCTTCCACACACATGCATATCTACAGGAAACCTGCTGCTCTGGAGGATTTTGTTGATTTTTTTTCTTAGGTTTGCTGTTGTCTCCTTTTTCTGTTTTCTCTCCCTCTCATCTCATCCAGGTGTGGAAGCAGATTTCTGGGAGTTACCGTTTATATTCTCTCACTTTTCATGCCCTCTTTCCTGCTTCTCTCTCTCTCCCCTAAGTTCTTATCCCCTCTTTCTTTCTCACCTTCCTTTTCATCTGTATGTTTTGTAAGGTTTTACTCCCTGAATCACTTTCAGTAGAGTTTCATATACAAGTATCAAGCAGAAACTCAGTGAAACTGGTCTGCTTGTCAAAGCAAATGTGTTGGTCTATCAGCTAACTGTGTGACTTCTATTCCCAGAGCTCTATTAGCAAAATAGGAAACTCAAAGAGGTAATTACCAGTGGCGGTTGGCCAATAGAGGGCGCTAGGGCACCGTCCCTCCCACCCAATGACCTTGATGAAGACAAAAAAATGTATAAATTGAGGCGTGCGTTGTACCGGTCTGTTGTGGTGAAGAGAGAGCTGAGCCAAAAAGCAAAGCTCTCAATTTACCGGTCGATCTACGTTCCTACCCTCATCTATGGTCATGAGCTTTGGGTCATGACCGAAAGAACCAGATCCTGGATACAAGTGGCTGAAATGAGTTTTCTCCGTAGTGTTTCTGGGCTCTCCCTTAGAGATAGAGTGAGGAGCTCAGTCATCCTGGGAGGACTCAGAGTAGAGCCGCTGCTCCTCCGCATCGAGAGGAGCCAGTTGAGGAGGATCGGGCATCTGATTAGGATGCCTCCTGGACGTCTCCCTGGTGAGGTGTTCCAGGCACGTCCCACTGGCAGGAGGCCCCTGGGCTCTCGCCTGGCCTGGGAGCGACTTGGGATTCCCCCGGAGGAGCTGGACCAAGTGGCTGGAGAGAGGGACGTCTGGGCCTCCCAACTGAAGCTGCTACCACCGCGACCCGACCCCGGAGATAAGCAGAACGATGGATGGATGGATATTTCGAAATACAGGTGCTGGTCATAAAATTAGAATATCATGAAAAAGTAGATTGATTTCAGTAATTCCATTTAAAAAGTGAAACTTGTATATTATATTCATACATTACATACAAACTCATATATTTCAGATGTTTATTTTGTTTAATTTTGATGATTACAAATGACAACAAATTAAAATCTCAAATTCATCATATCAGAAAATTAGAATATTACTGAAGACCAATAAAAACAAAGGATTTATAGAAATTTTGGCCAACTGAAAAGTATGAACATGAAAAGTATGAGCATGTACAGCACTCAGTATTTAGTTGGGCCTCCTTTGGCCTGTATTACTGCAGCAATGCGGCGTGGCATGGAGTCGATCAGTCTGTGGCACTGCTCAGGTGTTATGATAGCCCAGGTTGCTCTAATAGTGGCTTTTAGCTCTTCTGAATTGTTGGGTCTGGTGTATTGCATCTTCTTCTTCACAATACCCCATAGATTTTCTATGGGGTTAAGGTCAGGAGAGTTTGCTGGCCAATTAAGAACAGGGATACCATGGTCCTTCAACCAGGTACTGGTAGCTTTGGCACTGTGTGCAGGTGCCAAGTCCTGTTGGAAAATGAAATCTGCATCTCCAAAAAGTTGGTCAGCTGCAGGAAGCATGAAGTGCTCTAAAACTTCCTGGTATGTGGCTGCGTTGACCCTGGACCTCAGAAAACACAATGGACCAACACCAGCAGATGACATGGCACCCCAAACCATCACTGACTGTGGAAACTTTACACTGGACTTCAAGCAACGTGGATGAAGTGCCTCTCTTCATTTCCTCCAGACTCTGGGACCTTGATTTCCAAAGGAAATGCAAAATTTACTTTCATCAGAGAACATGACTTTGGACCACTCACCAGCAGTCCAGTCCTGTTTCTCTTTAGCCCAGGCAAGACGCTTCTGACGCTGTCTGTGGTTCAAGAGTGGCTTGACACAAGGAATGCGACAGCAGAAACCAATGTCTTTCATAC